GACGTGCGCAACACCATGTTTGATGTTGACCGTCACCTCCGGCGTCAACGACGGTGCCCTAATGATGTGTGGCACCTCTTGGGCCACAACGACGCTTTGCTGCGTCGAGGGCGGCGCCCGAACCACAAACGACGTTTTGCTCGCCGGCACGTGGACAACCGCCAGGTTGGCCGTTGGCGCCACTGGGCGAGGCTCATCTGTACATACAAAATTTTTATTAGAACTGGTGAAGGAAATGTTTTTGTTTTGGTGTTGGTCAGGTGTTGGATATATGTTATGATTTTATGTGTGTGAGTTGTGTTTTTGAAATGTCTTATGTCTGTGTGGAAGAGCTGAAACAACTCACCAACCACCGGCGGAACTGCTGCTGTCAAGATCTCCGGTTCAGGGGGCACAACCTCCTTGCACCACCTCCACGGCGTCACGACACAATCCATGTTGACACGACGCCCGACGCAGACCGTCGGCGACACCAGCTTCACCTCCTGCAGAAACAAAAAGCTGTCATTCCCATCTTGGCAAACATCGTCGAAAAACTCACCTTGAGATCCGCCTGACGAACGCAGTCCAAGAACAGTGTCGACCCGACGAACGTCACCCAATGTCCGTAGCCGCTGGCGTCCCGCACCTCCTCTCCGCAAACGTCCCAACACTTGAAGACGCCGTCTTTGGGACCGCAGTCTGCTCCAGCAACCGCAACACTGACGACCAGCGACACCAGAATCCTCAGGAACGCCATCTGTGAAAAATTTCAAAAACTGTTATTTCTGAAAAGAAAATTTTTTTTTGGTACTCACTTTTCACTTGCTGAATTTTCTTCTTGATAAAGTTGAAGATCCCCAACAGCACGAAGTCACTAGCCAAACGAACGATTTGCGAAACAATGTTTGAGGCCACCAGCTCCAGGAGACCCATCAACTTCCAACGATTTCGTTTGACAGGAAGTCGTTACGACGCTGCGTTGTTCGAGACGAAAATCGTTAAATTAACGGCCAAAAATTTTGAAAAAATTAATACAAGTTAACAACACTCACCAAAGAATACCGCCAAAATTTCAGGCCCAACGGATCATCCATTAACGAATGGCACTCGATGCCAACTGAAGAAGATATTATCATTCTTCTTGATCCAAACATCTGTTGGATCCATGCCTGATTCCTCCTGATGGATAGCAACAACAATTGCCATTTCCATAAAAGCCTTTATGGCTCCTGAAAGAAACAGCAACGGAAAATAGGGCACTGTCGCACTGAGTCTTGCACTTGGTTCACTTGTTGTTCCTTTTTTCTGCTGACTTTCACAAAAGGATGGAACCTTTTTTTTTATTGTGCGGGGTGAGTTTGTTATCTTAGAAATACAGTAACTTACAGAAGACCCTTTTTGGTAGTTTCAGAAGAAACCTTTCAGAAAGCCTAGAAATGGGAAATTGCTAAAGCGAAGATAATTGCTGCAATTTCCTTGATGAGAAGTCTTGACAACTTCTCATGACAAGCTACAATAGCCTTCCTTAGGTAATTAAAGTACAATCAATCCTGAAACCCTGGTGGGCTCAACTCTTTAGGAAAGTCGAGTGATATTTGGTTGTCTTGCTCTTGTTGCGCGTGGTCATTATCACTGATGTGTAACCAGCGCAATTATATTTCTCTCAGAGCAATTTCCACTCTGTTCATTTCACGGATTGGGATTTCTGCTATTAGGGTCGCGATGATTGTTTCCTTTGTTTCCCCCATCTAGGCTGGCTAGGTTTAAATACCCCTGCTTGGTGAAATCTCAA